CTCCGTAGGACTGACTGTATGCGCTAGCACCGAGACCCACTAAGCACCGGGCCGGCTTGCCACGCGCCGGACACGGTCGGCCCGTAGGGCGGTCCGCCCTGCGCTGGATACGGCCGGCCCGTGCTCCGCTGTCCGAGGGGGCCGCTCAGCCCGCGGCGCCGGCGCCTACTCTCGGGCCCGGTCCCCGGACCCCCGACCCCGGGCCCGCCCCGGGCGGGGTCCTCCCCCGCCTATCGGCCGCCTCCCACACTCCTCCTCTCGTAAGCCTCTCCCTCGGTCGGGACGCCGCGCATCAAGTGGCCTAGGCTCCAGTACTGGCATCTCTGCGGCCCCGGGTGCCGGAACTCTGTGGGCGCCCATAGCAACGGGGCCAGTGTCGTTGCCACGCGGAAATGACGAACCCAACGGCGCGCACGCGCCCAGACCCTCAATTTCGTCCCTGACCAACCCCGGTCGGGGTCCTCCCGCCTATCGGCCGCCTCCCACACTCCTCCTCTCGTAAGCCTCTCCCTCGGTCGGGACGCCGCGCATCAAGTGGCCTAGGCTCCAGTACTGGCATCTCTGCGGCCCCGGGTGCCGGAACTCTGTGGGCGCCCATAGCAACGGGGCCAGTGTCGTTGCCACGCGGAAATGACGAACCCAACGGCGCGCACGCGCCCAGACCCTCAATTTCGTCCCTGACCAACCCCGGTCACCTGGCACCTCGCCCCGCCCCCTGACGGCCTACCCGCCCCCCCCACCGAGCCAGCTCCTGCAATCGCTGCAGCGATGCCGTGACGTCACGGTCCTCGCAGCCAATCCTAGGGCCGCGCGGGGGTACGTGGACCTCACGCGCATCCGTCGCCCTGGAGGAAGGGCCGCCGCCGCGCCTGCGCAGTCTCTGCCGCCGGCTCGCGGCGCGTGGACCGTGCTCTGCGCCGCGCGCGTCCGCACGGCTCCGGGTTCCGGCGGCGGCGGCGGCGGCGGCGGCGGCGCCGCGTGGAGCTCGCGAGCCATGTCGTGGCTCTTCGGCATCAAGGGCCCCAGGGGGGAAGGCGCGGGGCCGCAGCTTCCGCTGCCGCCCATGCAGCCCGGGGCCGAGGGCGGCGGGGACCGCGGCGCGGGGGACCGGCCTGCGCCCAAGGACAAATGGAGCAACTTCGACCCGACGGGCCTGGAGCGCGCAGCCAAGGCGGCACGCGAGCTGGAGCACTCGCGTGAGTGCGGGGGTTGGGCGCGGGGAGGGCGGCCGGGCGGCGGGCTCGGGGGCACGGTGGCCCTTAGTGGTCTGAGGGATCGAGCGGCGAGTGGCCGTCGGGGGGAAACCGGTCTCCAGCGGTAAGCCAGCCGGAGCCACCCTGCGTGCAGGTAGGTTCGGGATCCCCTGATCCTCTGGCATCTTCCCAGTTGCTACGCGTCCTTCAAGTGGGGAAACCGGTGCCGAGGGGACTCAGAGGGTACAGGCAGCAGCTGGCAGGGCTGCATCCTGGTCTCCAGTTACCGCCTCTTGCCGTCTCCACGTGGAACGGCCAAGGGTGGCCAGGTAGGGGATCCGTCCGTGGTGGTTGCTTGGCAGTTTTCCGCTTAAGAAGGGAAACGTGTTTGAGGGTCGTTGGTCTTAATGAAAATAAAGTAGATTTGCATTTATCATTGGAAAAGGCTAGCGTTCAGGTAGGCGAGGTCTATAAAGCAACAGATCAAGCAGCCCTGGGCCAGCTGATGACCTTCCTGACCCAGGCCCTCAAGACATCAGCGGTGAGTGTACCTTCACTAAGCCCATGGGTTTTTTCACAACCTTCTTTTTTCCTGTGGCTTTAACAGTTTGTGTCAAGATCAAGATTAAGGGCCTGGAATATAGTACATGTTGAGTAGATAATAGCTCCAAGAATACAGTAGCTCTTAAACTTTTAAGCAGAGGTGCTCTATTCTCAAAGAAGAAGTTATAGAGCAGTCTTGTTGTGAGCAGAGGTGAGCACAGCCTTCCTGTCTGAGGAGGGGGTGGCCTGGCACTTTGTGGTTCAGTCCCCGCCTTCCCGCTGGGGCCACGAGAACATCCTGGGCAAAGGTCTCCAGCCTTTCTGGTACTCAGATCCTGGGAGGGACATTCAAAACATGTGGATATTTGGGCCTGGGCCCAGAACAGCCTGTTTCCTTAGGCCTAGCTGGAACACTCCCCTTTTCAGAGAGCATATTAAGTATATTAGATGTATTAGGTTTGTAAGGTAATTTCAGTTATCACTTGATGATTGAAGAGAGGCTTGCAGAGGAGCTTAAGAGACAATGGTTGGGCTTCAAGAAACCTCAGATGATGACAGACTTCTGACACGAGACCTAATTTCTTAGGTTTGTTGGTGGGGGGTTGGCCCATTCACCGTGCCCAGAATTTCAAGTTTGTCTCCTTTTGGAATGTGAAGGCCGACTCTTGGCCTCTGAAACCCACACAGTTGTACAGGCCGGTGTGAATAGCCTTGGGTGTGTCTGAGGGTAGCAGCGACTTCCCGTCTCCTGCCTGTGAATTGCTCCCAGGTCTCCTGCACTGGCTGCCCCAGAGCTCTTGCCCCAGGACATCCTCCACCTGGGTCCCCAGAGCCTTGGCCTCTGCTCCCCCATTTCCCCACCAAGCAGCATCTCCTGCAGAGTCCCCAGCTACCACCACCTAGAGGCATGATCCACCCCACTGGCCTCCACATCTGGTGATACTGTCTCAAGTGTGGACTCTTTTTCATTTTTGTCCCTGCCATCCTTTCTGCTGGCCGATGGGGGAGGTTTCACGCTGGGCTGTCACCCCTTCTGTCCCCAAACCCTCCTTCCCAGGGTGCCTGAGCCCCTTGTGTCCTTAGCCCCTCTGCAGGCCTCTCGTCTGGAGATGCTCCCAGTTCACAGCCAGAGTGCCTGCCCTGGTTGGCCTGTACCCGCTCTTGTTCACCTCACTGCTCTCTCCACGCAAACCAGAGACGTCCCCAGCTGCTTCTTACAGCCTGACCACCGTCTGTGTCCTTCGGGGCCCAGCCTGATGCTGCCCAGTTCCCCAGGTTTCCCAGGCCCTCCTTGGACGCCAGAGCAGCACATTTGGCCTTGAGCTGTGTGCTCCACGCACGTACAGGGTGCCTGCCTGTGGTGGGTGCAGTTAACGTGGCAGCTCGCACATCTCTTGGTGCAGGACGACTTCGAGGTGACAGTCATCATTGTCAGCACTGAGGTCGTAGCTTGTGATTAGGGGGGCTCGCGGGTGCCTGCACTGAGCGATTCACGTGCTTTCTCCACCTCACTCCACGGGTCGGGGGAGGGAGCTCCCTGCTCCATTGGCAGGCAAGGTGCTTGGAGCAGTCAGCCTACCTGCCAAAGGCCACGGCGTGAGTAAGCAGGCCAGCTGCAGGTCCTCCCCAAACTCTGAAGCCAAACCACAAGCCCCAGCCTACCTCAGCCCTAGAGCTTCCACCACATGCCTAACACATGCTTGGAGCCAGCGAGCCCCAGGGGTTACGCTGTAGTCAGTGACGCAGGTGCTGCAGCTTGGGGTCCTGGGGTCTGCAGCTTACCTTGAAGGCCTCAAAAAATAAGACAGATTGTGGTGGGGGGGGGTAGAAGGGTGGACATGTGGGCAGCAACCTGGGAGCGTGGTAGCATCAGGGAGGTGGGCTCATGGGGTCCCAACCTTCTCTCCGTGCTTTTATGTGTTAGAAAGTTTTTGTAGTGAAGCGTGGCGCGCAGGAGAACTGTGTCATCACGGATCTATTAGAGAGGCCCGACGTGCAGGCATTTTTAGCAAGGAGAGCACCGGGTACCGACATATTTCCACATGTGAATTCCCCTTATGAAGAGAATACACCTGGGAGATGTCAATCACACACACACGTGTTTCTAACGTGTGGCCTGTGAAGAGCTGTCAGCCTGTGTGCATCGGCTTCTTTCTGGGTTTTGGGGTTTTTTTTTAACATTTACTTATTTGGCTGCACCAGGTCTTAGTTGCGGCATGCGAACTCGTAGTTGTGACATGTGGGATCTAGTTCCCTGACCAGGGGTCTAGACTCCTGCACTGGGAGCATGGAGTCTTAGCCACTGGACCACCAAGGAAGTCCCTTCCTTCTGGTTTAATCCTCGTTTGCCCCTTACGTTCTTGCCTGCCTGTGCTCGCCTGTCTGTGAATCAGTAACAGGTATCAGAGGCTCAGGAAAAATGTTCGCACTGGAAAAATAAAGGACGTTCTAGCCACAGGCTTGCTTTTTGTTTAATGGGGAAACGACCACCATGCTGACACTCCTGCTGTCAACAGGCGGGCAGGGGACAGCCTCTCTGATGGAACCCTTTGGAGTGTGACAGTCCCCTGGGGGCAGACCTCGCACACACGCTTTCCGCTGGGGATGGAGCGTACACAGGTGTCCCTTGGAGGGAGGGGTGGCTGAGCAGGTCTGACCAGGGTGGCCACGCGTGTGCTCAGGTCGAGGTGGGCAGCCCCTGAGCAGCCCCTGGCACTCGTGAACACTTGCCCGGTGTCCTGATGCCCACACACCTGCCCCCGCTGCAGGACACGCCAAGGAGGCGCTGAGTCTGGCACAGATGCAGGAACAGACGCTTCAGCTAGAACATCAGGCCAAGCTCAAGGTGAGTGTGGGTGTGGTGCTGGCAGAGGTGGGCTGCAGCCCCGAGGCTGAGGGGCCCCCGGACAGACAGAACATGGGTGGTGGGTGCAGCACCTCCCTCTAGGATTTGCGGGAAGCGGGAATCAAAGACAGGTGTGTGGCCTGAGTTTTGCACAGAACTATCTGGAAGGGCAGATGTGGGTGAGGAGTCTGGTCTCCCCGAGGGGGGACTCCTGCCGTCACTCTGAGCACGTAGTGAGAGAGCGTAGGAAAGGCACAGGCTCTACCCTCCACCACGGGCTGTTGTAAAGCGAATCAGAAAGCAAGCACGTGGCGTAAGCGCAGCGGAAACGGTGTAGGGGGCTGGGGGAATGACAGGCGCCCCAGGAGACCATCTGGCTGCTTTGGGGCCTGGCCGTGTCCGTTTTCCTGGCTTCTCTCTGCCTGTGGGTCTGGGTCCTCCCGGGCCTAGGTGAGGCTACAGCTGAGCACCCACAGGCCTGTGGGGTGCAGACCAGGCTGCATCCCTGCCCAGGGGCTGCACAGGCTGTCCGGCTCCTTTGGAGCCCACGCAGGGGAGGGGCGTCGGCACGGGAGGCCTGGCCGGGCCCTGGGCTCAGGGCAGCTGGTGTGTCGCGCAGGAGTATGAGGCCGCCGTGGAGCAGCTGAAGGGCGAGCAGGTCCGGGTGCAGGCCGAGGAGCGGAGGAAGACCCTGAGTGAGGAGACGCGGCAGCACCAGGCCGTAAGGCGGTGGGGGTGGGGCATGCGGGGCGCTCCTCGGGCCCCGCGCCCGCAGAGTCCCACCCTGGACCGTGGCTTCTGTGCCCGGGCCGTGTGCACACCGCCCTTTCCCTCCCTAGAGGGCCCAGTACCAGGACAAGCTGTCCCGGCAGCGCTATGAGGACCAGCTGAAGCAGCAGGTGAACTCTGCCCGGCCGCCTGTCTTCCTCAAGGGCGTGGGCATCCCTGGGGGCGGGTGGGGGCCAGAGTCTGAGGTCCGCCCGGCAGTAACCACTGCATTGGAGGGGTGGGGATCTGCCTGCACCGCCCCGAGGGTCTCCCGGGTGGGACCCTGAGTGTCTCCCAGGTGGGACCCTGAGTGACGGGTCTGTGGGGGGCATTGAAACGTCGAGCCTGTTGTGGGCATTTTAGTTTTTAAATTAAACAGTCCAGCAAAAAGCCTGTTTTGTGAGGACAGCTGTGGGTCAGGGCTGCTCTGAGGCTGAGCTAGGCTGGCGGCCGCGGCTCCTGCCTCGGGCCGTGCAGCCTGCAGGCCTCAAGGTGACTGTCCCCTGGGGTCGGAGCCCCCGGGGCGACGGGGACATCTCTGAGGCCAGAGCAGCTAACTTGTTGATGTGATGTTGACCGTTTCCTAATCCTGAAGCCCTTCCCTTCCCCTTGTGGCTCCTATCCAGCAACTTCTCAACGAGGAGAACTTACGGAAGCAGGAGGAGTCCGTGCAGAAGCAGGAGGCCCTGCGGCGGGGTAGGGCCCTGGCCTGGCAGCTCACGGGCCGAGGGCCGTGGCCTTGCTTCAGGCCCTGTGCTTCCCAAACAGCATGAAGCCGCGGGCGCGTGGAGACCCTGGGAGAGGGGGTGGGGGTACCCTGCGCTTGCTCTCCATTCTGGGTCGGGGGGCCGCAGGCCTCGGGCTGAGCGCTGCTCCCCGCTCTCCCTGGGCAGCCACCGTGGAGCGGGAGATGGAGCTTCGGCACAAGAACGAGATGCTGCGGGTGGAGGCCGAGGCGCGTGCCCGGGCCAAGGCTGAGCGCGACAATGCTGACATCACCCGCGAGCAGATCCGCCTGAAGGCTGCTGAGCACCGCCAGACCATCCTGGAGTCCATCAGGTGAGGCCGTGCCCAGTGGGCATCCTCTTGCCCCTTCCCCTGAGCAGGCACCCCACTACTCCCCCGGCCGGTCCTTCTGCGGTGGCCTTTGGGGCTGACCTTGGAGCCTGGGCCAGGCGCACGGGCACAGCCCGATTCCTTCCCAGTCATGCCACTGCTTGCCCTGCAGGACGGCTGGCACCGTGTTTGGTGAAGGATTCCATGCCTTTGTGACAGACTGGGACAAAGTGACCGCCACGGTAAACAATGCTGCCGTTGTCCTTGCGGTCTTTGTCATGTGTCGGGGTCTCTGCTGGCCATGAGAGGCGCCTGGCGCTCTGAGCGTTCACAGACCTACGGCTGAGGTGGTCGCTGCCCCCGCGCCCCCCACTGCCACTGGAAAGCCACAAGCGACGCAGCCTTTGGGTTTGGGGCGCTCGGAACAGCTCAGTGTTGGCCCTGGTGGGGCTGGGAGGAGGGTGTGGGAGGGGTGCCAGGCGTCCGTTTCGTCTGTGCACCAGTGCCTGCCCTTTGGAAAGGTACTGGTGGGGCCGGCTGAGACTCAGGGAGCTGGTGGGGGAGCCCCTCTCTTCTGCTGGGGATGGGGTGGGCGCCACCTGCCTCCTCTGCCCTGTTCCAGGTGGCTGGGCTGACGCTGCTGGCCGTTGGCATCTATTCCGCCAAGAACGCCACATCGGCCATAGGGCGCTACATGGAGACCCGGCTGGGGAAGCCGTCCCTGGTGCGGGAGACCTCTCGAATCACGGTGCTGGAGCTACTGAGGCACCCTGTGCAGGTGACCACGGGCCTCCTGGGTCCGGGTGGCCTTACAGCCGAATCACACACGTGACCCCTTTCCCTTTTTACCCAGATACTGCCCTGTTCTCCTGCTCACTGATCTGCATTTGGCTTTTTCTTCTTGATGCTATCCCTCTGGCCCTGTGGCGTCAGCATTGGGGGGACCCTCACGCCAGTCCGCTCCGTCCCTCTGTGGGTCAGTGGGCATGACCGTCCCCTTGGGTGGACTGGAGGTTGTATACAAACTTCTGGGGCTCCAGCAAGCCATCTACCCGTAAGATAAGTTGCTGGAAGCAGCCCTGTGTCGGCTGCCTTCCTTGAGGGGAGCCAGGCTTCCTGCCTGGCATGGGTGCTATGCACCCACGGGCAGTGCTGTGGGCCGTCGCTAGAGGTCAGTGTCGCCGACAGTCTCCCCTGCCGGCCTTCTCCAGGAAAGCTGGTAACGCGTGTTCTGGGGTGGCTGCACCGTGGGTGCCGCTGTGACCCTGATACCCCCCGTGCCCCCACAGGTCAGCAGGCGGCTCCTCAGTAAGCCTCAGGATGCACTGGAGGGCGTCGTCCTCAGCGTAAGTGGGGCTGCCTATCCCTGGGACCTTCCCGCCTGGGCAGGGCTGCTCGACCTTCCTGGAGTCCGGTTTGCTGGCTGAGCCCCAGCCAGGGAGAGGCGGCCTCTCGCACTGACCCAGGCACTCAGGAGGGATGGACTCAGCGGCAGAGCGTCCCCAAACCTCATGTCCCCTGGCAGCCCAGCCTGGAGGCTCGCGTGCGGGACATCGCCATTGCCACGAGGAACACCAGGAAGAACGGGAGCGTGTACCGGAACATCCTGATGTATGGGCCGCCTGGGACGGGCAAGACACTGTTTGCCAAGGTGAGGGCACAGTAGCTGGGGGTTGTGGAGTCTCACCTACTGGGGAGAGGTGCCGAGGGCAGGGGACACATGGGAGGCGGCCCCTGCCCAAGCTCTTCCAGGAAGGGCGTCTCCCCACACGATTGGGGCGGTGGGCTGGAGGGCAGACAGAGCAGGCGTTAAAGTGCCTTTCCCACCCAGAAACTCGCGCTGCACTCAGGCATGGACTACGCCATCATGACGGGTGGGGATGTGGCCCCCATGGGGCGGGACGGCGTGACCGCCATGCACAAGGTCTTCGACTGGGCCAGCACCAGCCGGCGAGGGTGAGCTGGCTGCCTCCTGGGTGGCCCTGGGGCTCCTGCTGGGAAGGGGGGTTGGTGACTTTCCCCACAGCCTGTCCCCAAGGTCCAGGAGCCTCTTGGTCCCAGAGACTTTGTTTTATTTTATTTTTGGCTGCGTTAGGTCTTCGCTGCTGTGCGCGGGCTTTCTCTAGTTGCAGCGAGTGGGGGCTACTCTTCGTTGCGGTGCGCAGGCTTCTCATTGTGGTGGCTTCTCTTGTTGCGGAGCACGGGCTCTAGGCGCGTGGGCTTCAGTAGTTGTGGCATGCAGGCTCAGTAGTTGTGGTGCACGGCCTCAGTAGTTGTGTCTTGTGGGCTGTAGGGTGCAGGCTCAGTAGTTGTGGCTCACGGGCTCAGTAGTGGTGGCTCGCAGGCTCTAGAGCCCAGGCTCAGTAGTTGTGGCGCACGGGCTTAGTTGCTCCGTGGCATGTGGGATCTTTCCTGGACCAGGGCTCGAACCCGTGTCCCCTGCATTGGCAGGCAGATTCCTTTTTTCTTTTTTCCTTTTTCTTTAAATTTTATTTATCTATTTATTTATTTTTGGTTGCATTGGGTTTGTGTTAGGGTTAGGGTTAGGGTTGCTGCGTGCAGGCTTTCTCTAGTTGCAGCGGGCGGGGACTACTCTTCGTTGCGGTGTGTGGGCTTCTCAGTGTGGTGGCTTCTCTTGTTGCGGAGCACAGGCTCTAGGTGCGTGGGCTTCAGTAGTTGTGGCACGTGGGCTCAGTAGTTGTGGCTCATGGGCTCTAGAGCGCAGGCTCAGTGGTTGTGGCGCACGGGCTTAGTTGCTCTGCGGCATGTGGGATCTTCCCGGACCAGGGCCTGAACCCGTGTACCCTGCATTGGCAGGTGGATTCTTAACTACTGCGCCACCAGGGAGGCCCAGTCCCGGAGACTTTAAAACGTTTAAGACCAGGGGTCACCAGCCTATTTTTAGTTACTTTCTCGTGACACTGGTACTTGACACGCCCCCATCTGCAGCCAAGGTCTGGGTCCCGGTGGGGGCAGCGCAAGGTTTGGGGTTCCCGCGGGGCTGTGCCCTGCCTGCCTCACATGGCCCTGCCCTTGCAGCCTCCTGCTCTTTGTGGACGAAGCAGATGCCTTTCTCAGGAAGCGAGCGACTGTGAGTGTCTGGAGGCCGCCCTCTGGCCTGGGGAGCAGGCAGGGCGGGTGGGGAGCTGGCAGGGCAGGCGGCCTGGGCCGCGGCGTCTGCACTTCCTGGGAAGGTCACCGGGAACCTGCTCCTCAGCTGCACTTTCTTCGTCCATTTTGTTTGAAAAGTGGAAGTTCAGCGTCTTTGGAGTCAAGCTTCAGCCTTCGAATTTAGATTCATTTTGTTGTGGACGAGCGGGGGCTGCGCCTTCCCGCGGAGTGTTTCCTTAGCGCCCCCGTGGCTGCTTATAGAACCCCGGTGTGCGGACCTGACGCTGGGCTTTTCTCTTTTCAGGAGAAGATCAGTGAGGACCTCAGGGCCACCCTGAACGCGTTCCTGCACCGGACAGGCCAACACAGCAGCAAGTGAGAGCCCGTGTGTGGGGGCCGTGGCACTGCCTCAGCTCACGCGGCTGCTGCGGGGGGGCCGACTGAGCTGGCTCACTTCTGACCCACGTGGCCGGACGCAGTGGGATGGCCCGTTGGGCGCCATGGGGCGTCTGTGGAGCTGCGGAGACAGTGTGCTGGGGTCTGAGGCAGAGCCGAGGGGCACAGGCTCGTCCATAGGCCACTGCCCTTGGCTCAGGCCCTGGGCATTTCCGGCTGCCCATGAGATGCGTTGTCAGGGGCTCACCCCACAGCTAGGAGACCCAGGTCGCAGGTTGCCCTAGGACTGGGCTGGCCCTTCTGGGCCCCCTGATCCTGCTCCTCCAGGTGGGTGAGGCCCCTCCAGACCCCTGCCTGCTGGTGGCATCTAGCCCTGCCGGTCAGCCACGTGGCTGCCACGCCAGACTCACTAGCCTTGCCCGCTGCAGCTGCTGCCGGTGGAGACCCTACCCCCACTGAGACCCCCCA